AAAAACACCTTGACGATGAATTTATCATTTATCCTGTTGATATTCATCCTGTTTGTTCAACTTTATTTCTTTCCCGTTATCGTCTTTCTAACGCGTTTACTAACGCGCTTCTAACACTTCATTATTTAATATTATTTATTCCATGGCACGTTTTTCTTCCTCCTCTTAATTATCATCATTATTATTATTATAATAATTATTAAATAATAATAATAATAATAATAATAATAATAATAATTATTATTATTATTACTACTATTATTTTTATTATTTATCTTTTTATTTAATTTCTCTTTCTCCATTTCTAGAGACGCTTAAATTTCCGTAGGCTTGTGGCCAAACGAAGATGATTGAGTATGATAACGTATGTGTGTATGTGTGTATGTGTGTGTATGTGCGCGTTCTGGGGTATATAGGTGTTTATGAGGGTGTTTACTCCTCTGTATACTACTATATATTACTACTAATACTATTACTTTTATTAATTACTATTGGTAGTAACAACAATTTTTATTGTTCTTTTTCTTTCCTCATTTTTTTTTTTAATATTGGCAAAGAAATCATTTCATTGGAAAAAATTGTTTCCTTATGAATCGAAATGGAAGTGAATATATATATATATATTTTTCTAAATATCATTGCCTTTGATCTGTTTCTATATATATATATATATATATCTAGTTGATAGGAGATCGATCGATAAATATTTTTTTTCTTGTTCTTTTCTTTTTCTTTATTGACACGGCGGATTCAGTTCATCGAGAGAGAGAGAGAGAGAGAAAGAGAGAGAGAGAGAGAGAGAGAGAGAGAGAGAGAGAGAGAGAGAGAGAGAGAGAACACCGAGTTGACACTGTCTCAATTCTTGGAAAATATTGAGTTGATCAATAAGTTATGTTGAAATTGTCAATTATTTTATATCTAAATAAGCAATGGTATATCCAATATAAAAAAAAAGAAAAGAGAAGAAGAAATTGCAATTAATATCGTTAATTCAATCAACTCAATAAGTTTCCATAAGGATGCGCAATAAGATTTTGAATGTTTAAAATTGAAAAAGATGTTTTCTTTTTTTTTTTTTTTTTTTTTGCCAAGTAACGTTTACACGTTAAAGTAAGAGAAAACGCAACCTCTCCTTTGGCTACTTTTACACGCTGACAGAGTATTAGCAAAAAGGAGGAGTTAGATGATGATGGTGGTGGTGGTAGTGGTGATGGTGGTGGTGGTGGTGGTGGTGGTGGTGGTGGTGGTGGTGGTGGTGGTGGTGGTAGTGGTGGTGGTGGTTGTGGTGGCGTTAGGATGGGCGGATATTGAAAAATCCGGATATTGTCCGTTAGACCTAATTGCAGGATTTCCTGCTTTCCAGGCGCTTCGCCCGTGACCGTGTCGAAGGGGTAGAACTTGCAAATTGCAGGTATACCTAGTTAATAGGTTAGTATATATATATATATATATATATATATATATATATATATACATATAGATATAAATGTTTCACTATATATGTGATACACTCTCTGTGTGTGTGTGAATATATATAGACGTGATAGGGTAACGCGTGATATCGCGTTGTAAACGGACAGCGTAAATGCTCCATCTCCATTTCAAATAAGTGTCTATCTATCTCTATCTCTCACTTTCAAGGGTTGAATGTGTGTGTGTGAGAGAGAGAGAGAGAGAGAGAGAGAGAGAGAGAGAGAGAGAGAGGAAGAGAGAGAGAGAGATAGAGAGAAATACTCAGAAGGCAGAGTTCTCTGCAAATCGGAGTATCTCGACTGTCCATTTAAATGTAGAAGTTTTCGAAGTCCAAGCAAAACGTATACATCTATATATAGCTATATATATATATACATACATTCATATAGCTATATACATACATACATACATACAGGTGGCTTTGATTCACTGTTTATGCATTTGATTTGCATTCAAACTATCCATCTATTTCTCTCTCTCTCTCTCTCTTTTTCTCTCTCTCTCTTTTTCTCTCTCTTTCTCTCTCTCTTTATCTGTCTGTCTGCCTATCTCTATGTTTCATTTTTTATCATATTTTTTCAACGATCGAATCGTTGAATCTGTTATAATTTTCCAATTATAAGTATATCTCATCTTAAAAGCTTGTATTTTCTCACTGGTTCACATAGATAGATAGATAGATAGATAGTTAACGGGAGAGGGAAATGGAAAGAGAGAGAGAGAGAGAGAGAAAGGGAGAGAGAAGAGTTCTCTTGAATTATTTATAGATTTCCGTTCTCCTCTTATATCCTTCCGTTATCGCGTTAATCGAGAAATTTTCTCGTAGGATCTCGAGCTATCTATCCCTAAGATACATACATACATGTATACATATATGTATATATATATGTATATATATATATATGTATATATATATATATATATATATGTATATATATTGGAGTTCACGGATGTGACCGGGAGGACGCAAAAGGCCGCGATGTGATTTCTCCGCTCTGGTAATAATAATAATAATAGTAATAATAGTAATAATAGTAATAATAATAATAGTAGTAGTAATAGTAATAATAATAGGTATTACGATTGGTACGAGCGTAAGCAGCTGTTGCTGACGTTACCTTATGATTGACTCTACGTACGATCGATTGAGATTCGTTATAATAATCAAACTCACCCTTTAAAATGTCATGACCAATTTTAAACTAATGAAGATAAATCAATTCGAAAGTATCTATCACAGTAAAACATTGAATTAGAAGAAATAAGAGTCTATCTCTATTTCTTTCTCTCTGTCTCTTTCTCTTTCTCTCTCACTCTCTCTCTCTCTCTCTCTCTCTCTCTCTCTCTCTCTCTCTCTCTCTCTCTTTCTCACTCTCTCTCTCTCTTTCGCTTTTCATCCCTTAGTAGCGTTCTTTCGATAAGTAAGCAAAGCAACGGCTCGCAGGAGCCAAGTAAGAGAAAGAGAGAGAGAGAGAGAGAGAGAGAGAGAGAGAATAAAGAGGGCGTGAAGGAGGGTAAGAGGGATGCTAGTAGTCGGCGAGGTGGCGCCCTCCCTTCGACGCCTTCGATCGACCATCCCTCTCTCTCTCTCTTTCTGTCTCTCTTTCCCCTCTCTCTCGTGAACGTCCCTATTTCTCTCTCTCTCTCTCTCTCTCTCTCTCTCTCTCTCTCTCTCTCTCTTTTCATCGTTGGAACGTTCTACGATACGCGTAGAACCGAACGCGATTCAGGATCCAGGACATCCGACTTACCGCAGTAAAGCGATCCTGCGTCGTTCCAGAATCCCTCGGAAGAAGATATCCAGACGAGTTTCGAAAGCCTTAAACCCCATTCCCTATCCACCACCCATCACCCATCACACACCACCCCCTGTTCCCGCTTCGTCCCTACTTCACTTCATCCCATCCAACCACCATCCATCCTTCTCCTTATTCCCCTTGTCCCTATTTCTCCCTTTTTTCCTTTTTTTTTCTCGATCTGATGCCATCCACTAAAACCGACCCTTTTCTCTCTTTCTCTCTTTCTCTCTTTCTCTCATTTTCTCTCTCTCTCTCTCTCTATTTCTATCTCTTTTCCCATCGATTCCTCTTGGTCTAATCAACTTACTCGTCGGTACGTTAATCCACTTGGATACTTGCCTCTTGGTTAGTATACTTCATTCCGGAAGTATTCTATAGGAGTGATGATAGGGTAGGATAATAGGAATAGCAGCAACGGCAGGAACAACAACAGCAACAGCAACGGTAAAGGCAGTATTAGTAGTTGTAAAATACTATTTAGGAATTACAGTACTTTCTCCTTTACATATATACATATATGAGCTAGCTAGCTAGCTATTCTAATACGTTGGAACTAAGATTGGAACTATGGTTGGAACTATGGTTGGAACTAAGGTTGGAATGATACTGCGAAGGGCTCCAAAAGTAAAGTTCCTATGTATACGTATGAAGAGAGAGAGAGAGAGAGAGAGAGAGAGAGAGAGAGAGAGAGAGAGAGATAGCAATAGTGATGGTGGTAGTGATGATGGTGTGGTAGTGGTGTTGATGGTAGTAGTGGTAGTCGTGGTGCTGGTAGTGGTGGTGGTGGTTGATAGAAGAGTGGGGATATTCAAGAGGGGGTAGTCAACGGCAGCAGAGAGGGTGAGTCTCAGTCGCCACTCGGTCACCCTACCGAACGGTTGGGTTCCAAGTTCGTCGCTTTTTATTGTCGTCGTCGGATAAGCGCGAGAGAGGTGATCTCTAAACCCTCCTCGATCTCGGAAAACGCGCGACAGATACATACATACATACATACATATATTCTACTAATATCGTCCCTCTATCTATTTCTCTCTTTCTCTCTCTCTCTCTCATTTTTTTTATCTCTCTTTCTCTCTTCCTGTTCTCTCTCTTCTTTCTCTTTCTTTCTCTCCACTCTATCTGTCTGTCTCTTTCTCTTTCTCTTTCTCTCTCTCTCTCTCTTTTTATCTCTCCTAATTTCTCTATAATCAATCGCGTTCGATCGTGTTCTCCAGGGGGGTGGGGGGGATGGGGAGATGAAAAAGAAAAAATAAGAAAAGTTAATTGGAAATATTTAAGACTTAATTAAGACGTATCGACTGTCGAGAGAGAGAAAGAAGATAGCGTTACCTTTCTCTCTCTCTCTCTCTCTCTCTCTTTCTCTCTCTTTTTATTTCACCTCTCTTTCTTTTTCTCTCTCTTTCTCTCTATCTTTCTATTTCGTTCTCTCGTTCTCTCGTACTTCGTGTGGACGCGTACCGCAACCGGTCAGCGCGTGTGCACCCGACAACGATCGATCCTCTCCGCGATAGAGATCCAGAGAGAGAAGCGATGGACGGAACCACCCTTCCACGAGACGACGACGCCAGATAAGGAGCAGGAACATCGAGGATAAACCTTCTCTTCTCTCCTCTCTCTTTTTCTCTCTCTCTCTCTCTCTCTCTCTCTCTTTCGCTCTCTCTCTCTTTTACTCTCTCTCTCTCTCTCTTTCTCTCTCTCTCTCTCTCTCTCTCTCTCTCTCTCTATCTATCTATCTATCTATCTATCTCTCTGTCTCTGTCTCTCCGTCTCTCCTTCTCTTTATCCGTCTCCGTCTTAACCTCCGTCTCTGTCTCCGTCTCTGTCTCCGTCTCTGTCGCGCTCGTCGGCCGCTCGCTTCTTCGTTCTCTAGATATAGCTCTTTATCTCTACGGTGACACTTTTTCAACGATATTCGGCCAATTTCTTCGCACGGTACGACGTTTCTCATTGAAATATCGATTTTCCCTTTACTTATTTATTTATTTATTTATTTATTTATTTACATATATATATATATATTTATTTTTTTGTTCGTTTGTTTATTGTATTCATTTAATCGTGTTTGTTCTCTTTTCATTGTTCATAAGTTTTTTTCCTCTTCTTCTTCTTCTTCTTTTTTCTTTTTTTTTTTTTTTGTTCCTCTCTTTCTCTTTTGCATTTTGCGAGAAGAAGAAGCAGAAGAAGAAGAAGAAGAAGAAGTAGAAGAAGATTGACAATTATCTTTTCAATCTCATTTCAATGATTAAATCGATCGAACTATCAAACGTGCAGTGCTTTGATTATCGGTGTTATTGATATTTCGTAAAAAGAAATTCTTATAAATCTTATAAGTCTCTTTATTTATTGACCGATGTATTGTAAGAGGGTGAGGAAGAGAGAGAAAGAAAGAGAGAGAGAGAGAAAAAGAGAGAGAGAGAGAGAGGTAGATAGATAGTACGTTTTAATGGACGTTCCTTCCTTCGTTGCAAAATGAACCACTACCTCGTTCGATCGACTTTACTCTCTTTTTCTCTCTCTCTCTCTCTCTTTTTCTGTTTTACTCTCTCTTTCTTTCTCAATCTCTCTATCTCTTTATTTCTCTGTGTGCGTGTGTCTGGATTACGTCTGTTTAACAAAGTTAATTGTATGAAGTCCACGTTCTTATCAAACGATCGGTATTGTGTTTTCATTTGTGTAGAGGGGATAGGATGGTTCATCAGGGGTTGCTTATTAGTAATGGAGATCTTTCTTTTTTTATTATTATTATTATTATTATTTTTTTTTTTTCCTTTTTCTTTTTTTTCCTTTTTCTCTAATCAGAGATATATCAAAGTCAGAGATATATGAAACGTGCTTTTACTTTATTTTAAAAAGTTAATTTTTAGTAAGTGCAAATAAATGCGTGTGTATGTATACATGTATGTTTAATATACGAAAGAAGAAATATATTATTATTTTATTTCTCCTGTTACATTGTCATTTTACATTTCAGTGGTTCCCAATGTGGTAATCAATTTTTTTAATTAATCAATTGCACATTATTATTTTTATAATATGTTTATTATATATCGACGAGTTCATAATTCGTTCTCTCTCTCTCTCTCTCTCTCTCTTGCTCTTTCTTTTTCTCTTTTTCTCTCTCTTTCTCTCTTTTTCTTCGTTTTGTTCGTTTCGAAAGAGCACGTGCATGCCCGATAGAATGCTTAAACCTTTCGTGCCTTTCTTCGTCTTGAGGACGACGGCTGCGCGCCGTTTTCAATCCTTTCGTTGACCTTCGCCGGAATCTCCTTCGTGATATTGATCGATATAACAATATTAGAATCGTTAGACGATTTTCGGACATGATAAGTTCGTAATAATAGAATGTCATGGATAAATAAATATTTTTTTCTTTTTTCTTTCGTTTTTCCATTTCATTTTTTTCTTCTTTCCTCCCCTCTTTTTTTTTTTCTTTTTTTTGGGATCATTCTTTGATCAATCGTCACGTACGAAGTGAACGTTTACAATTATTGGCGACTGTGTATAATAATCGGCAATATACTTGTATCAAATTAATATTTATTTGATTAATATCAGATCAAACGACGTACATATCTTTTTTCGATCATGCAAATTGAACAATGCATTAATTGTCTCTTATCTAATTTACAATATTATAAACAATATAATGTATTAATATCTCGAGTATACCTTACGAGTGATATATCCTATATATAAACATATTACGTGTAATTATAATTTTGTATAATAACAATTTTTTTTCTCTCCCCCCCCCTCCCCCCATCATCAATTGGAAGATAATTATATTAAAAGTGATCATGTTGTAGTAAAAAAAGAAAAAGAAAATTGAAAAAAAAAAAAAAAAAAAAAAAACGATAGATTAATATTACAAACGTTAGAAATATTATGAAAATAAATACGTACGTATACACGTAATACGCGTGTCATTGTTTAATAATAATAATAATAATAAAAAAAAAAAAAAAAGAAGAGCGAAAAGAACAAAACAAAAAAGACAGAAATAAAGAAAGAAAGAAAGAAAGAAGGAGGAAGAAGACAAAAAAAAAAAAAAGAAAAAAGAAAACAAAAAAGAAAGAGACACGAGCGATGATTATACACAGTGTGGCCAATAAAGGTATTCTTCATCATAGTCCGACATGAATGGTTACTCAGAAGAGCATCTTTTCAAAGCAACTGACATTTCTTTCCAGTATTTTTCTCCGGTTCGTAACAAGGACAGAGAAAGGAAATAGAGAAAGGATATAGAGATAGAGAAAGAGAAAGAGAAAGAGAAAGAGATGAGTTCAGTCTTTTCTCTCTATCTCTTTTTTTTTTTTGTCCCCTCTCTTTCTCTATCTCTTTCTTTCATTACAGCGATTATTCTTAAACGGTTGGCATGTTATTCAATGTTTACGAGAATCATCATAGGTTTCTTTATTTACTACGTATGACATAAAAAGAGATAAAAATATTGTGTGGATGCTGCCGAAACTATTCTCTTCGTTTAGTCAACTATCAACAAATCTCTCATTCTCTCGATCTCTCTCTCTCTCTCACTCACTCACTCTTTCTCCCTTCTCTTCTTCTCCCTCTCTCTATTTATCGTTTTTTGGATCGAGGCCAACTTTATATTCACCGACTTTTCGACGATTCGAGATAGATAGATAGATAGATAGATAGATAGATAGATAGATAGATAAATAGAGAGAGAGAGAGAGAGAGAGAAAACATTGGGCTCACATTGAGATCATGCTTGAACCCTTTTCCCTTTGACGATTAATCGTTGACGAAACGTTAACTACTCTCTGTGTTAAATCGAAATCGGATTATTGTGTTCTTCCTCTTCTTTTTCTTTTTTTTTCCTTTTTCTTTTTTGTTCTCTTTCTTTCCATTTCTTTTTTTTTTTTACCCCCGTTCTTCCTCCCCTTTCGATACTTGCTTTTTCTTAATCTAATTTTTATTTATTGATTTATTTTATTTCAATTTATTTCATTTCATTTCATTTCATTTCATTTCATTTCATTTCATTTCATTCAGAGCTTTGTTTCACTTTATTTTGTTTCTTTTTTATTTCTTTTTTTTCCTTCTATTTTTTTCTTTTCTTTCTTTCTTTTTTTTTTCTTCTTTTTTTTTTTGTTATCTTTCTATGTCGTTTATGAAAGTGAATATGAAAGTGTGAAAAGAACATTAACCCTCATAAGGCTATTATTAAATATCAACCCCTAAGCTAATTTTATTTGTTACTATTATAGCTAAGTATGTGAGAATAGTGATCTGTTTTATGATAACGTTTATCAGTGGCAATGATCCGAAGAAATAACTATGGGATTGGTGTTATCAATAATTAGATTCTTTTTTCTTTTTTTTTCTTTTCTTTTTTTTTCTTTTTTCTTTTTTTTTTTTTTTTTGGTTAATATTCTAAAATATAATTTATAAGTTGGAAGTGTGCGTAGGTGTGTGTACGATTAAGTTTCATTTGTGATCGTCTTTAAGGAATTGAATATTATATATATATATTTCTTTCGTTTTCATTTTTTTTTCAAGCGAAATGGAATCGAAATGAGAATGTTAAAGAATTGATGATTTTATTCTTTTACTTCGTTTATTTTATTTATTAAAAAGAAAAACATTTTTTTTTGTAGGGATGACATTTCTAATTACTTTCGACGCGTATATATATATATATATATATATATCTTCTTTTTTCTCCTTTCAGCAATAATATGAAACGTATCTATATGTACGTTCACATATACGTATAACCTACATACATATATATATATATATATATATATATATATATGTATATATATATGTATATATATATGTATGTATGTACTAGGCTCGTGGATACGTATATTAGGATCGTTGATTTATCGTTTCACGGGAAAGAGTATAAGCTTGCGAGAGTTTACGAATCGTGAAGCATAATTCGAATATATAGGGGTCGGTGATTCGTCAAAATGACAACGTTACTATATAAACCTCTTTTGTTGAAGTTACAATTCTTCTATTCTGCCGCGTTAATTCGATCACTAGGAAGAAAAAATTTTTTCCAAAAAAAAAAAAATGGAAGGAAGGAAGGAAAAAAACAAAAACATTTATTTTTCGAATTTTCATACATGCATACGGGCGAAACATAAGGATAAAATAAAAATATAATTATTATATACCGAATCATATATGTATAATATAATTATATATATATATATATATATATATATATATATATATATATATATATATTCATATACACAAACAATTAATTGTTATTGAATCGCGTGCTTGAAAATATCACAAAAATTATTTCTGATAATAAATATATATATATATATATATTTTTTTTTCTTTCCTATTCTTGTTGATAATTACAATTAATTGTAATCCAAACACATATTCGAAAATATCTTGCGAGAAAAATTTTGGATACTTCTTTTTTTTCCATTCTTTTTCTTTTCTTCTTTTTAATAACTTTTTGGAAATTGAAGACGATGAATCATAGATGATACAGCGATTATGATGATATTTTTCGGAAAGGGGCTAACGATCGTTAACGTTGGATGGGGGAAAGTTACTCTATCGTGCTTTCAACGTGAAACAAGAAAGATATACACGAGGCAGTTTGCCAAGATAAAGAAGTTCGCGATATATCGTCGTTTACTTATGATCGTATACACTACTTGTATATATATATATATATATATATATATATATATATATTTGTGTGTGTGTGCGTGTTTGTGTGTGTGTAGTTGTAGGTATATATATACATGTGTACATATATATATATTTATTGTGTATATAGATATTTATATATACTCAATATATATCTATATATAGATCTATATATATATATATATATATATATATATAGATACGTAGATACGTACATATGTGTATATTATATACACACAAACACATTTAAAATCATGTTAGGTTTTATCAAGCACTGT